AGTTCTAAAATCGTTCTCAATATTAAAGAATGGCAGAGTCCACACCACAACTATAACGATAAAAGCACAGAGAAACGATATCGTTGGAATCACTTTCAGAACGATTTTTTTCCAGCTGATGAACGATACAAACATTGACAGCCAATCAGAATCCATCCTGCTGTAACGAGCTCGAGAATTTAAAGCGGCAGACGAGTGTGCGCTTCGAAATTCACTACAATTAACAAATGCTTTAGAAGTAATTTGAATTGTTAGTTTATGTTAACTAATATAGTTAACTAATGTTAACAAATGGAAACTTCATTGTAAAGTGTTACCGAATAAATACGAGAATTTAAAGCGGCAGACGCGCGTGCGCTTCGAAATTCACTACAATTAACAAATGCTTTAGAAGTAATTTTAATTGTTAGTTTATGTTAACTAATATAGTTAACTAATGTTAACAAATGGAAACTTCATTGTAAAGTGTTACCGAATAAATATTTATTTAGTATTTGTTGTATATCCTTTTTTGCTAAATTTGGTTGCACTTTTTATTAAGGTGACCTCGTTACAGTGTAATTATATATTTAAGTACTGAGTAATATTAATTAACTACATGTACTTACTATATGGTTAGGGTTAGGATTAGGGTTTGGCTTAGGGTTACTTGCATGTAATTATGCATCATTTATTGTTATTATAATAGTAAGTATATGTAACGTGTAACAAGGACACCTTAAAATAAACTGTTACCCTAAATTTAATAGAAAATAATTGTGGTATGGTAATTAATAATAATGAGAGTCATCACTGAGAATAATGAAAATTTTTTTTTTTTTCATTATGAGAACTGTAATTGTCAATGTAAAAATTGACTTAATTGTCTTAAAATATAATTTCCTTTCTTAGACATGGACGTGAGATTCATTTTCATGAGAATAATCATAAAACAAAAACGTCTCTTCATATGGTTAAACCTTTGCGATGTTTCTCTCTCAAGCCAGCAGAAACTTTCACAAACTTAGACCGAATGAATTCATAATCCTGAGATGCTTTATAAATCCTTTGCGATATTGAATGTGTCATTTCTTTCACCTTTTACGAAGATCAGATTTACTGCTTCTGTTTCCCACAATGCACATTTAGACGGGGAAGCGTTGACCACACTTTCTCTCTCATTATCCATTTATCATTGTCTGCGCATCAAATATTAAAACTGTTTTCCCATCTTGCATTATGGGAATTAATGGCGAGTTGATTTTCCAGAATTGCCTGTGAGGAGCGGTTAAGATAAGTCGTCATGACAGAGAGTGGTGGAGTTACTCATGTGAAGATCTCATGTGAGTTCTCTGTGTGGGCTGTGATGAGAGTGAGTTAGTGTAATATGGCTGACCTCATACTTGATGCGAAGCACAATTAGTCATTCATGCCTTCTCTAAATGCTTCCTACAGGTGTGTCACTTCTTATTGTTCACTATTGCCATGTTGCCCTTTTGCTTCAAGCGGCTGATTTAATTAGAAATCTAGATTTTTTTGTTGTTGTTGTTTTGGTTGGTTGCCAGAGCATTGCTATCCAGTTTCTGAGGTGTTTAACCCTATAAGGCCTCTAAATGGTCAACATATTCAAAACTTTGCTTAAAGGAACACTCCACTATTTTTGAAAATAGGCTCATTTTCCAACTCCCCTAGAGTTAAACTAATAAT